TGTCGATGAACCTGGGCCTGTTAGAAACAGCAGGCACAGAGAAAACAAACAATGGCACAAGATGCATGAGTGGGACTTGATACATACTGAACAGAAATTACACGTTAGAGAGCTGCTATAGCAATCAGTCCACTCTTGGCACATGAAAGGCCTCTATCAGTAGCCCTTCCTTTCTGGCCCCAGAGTAGCAGACTCCTTGAAATCTATGCACAGACAGGGTCATGGCCCTCCTCTCCTAGCAAAGAGACTAGGGATGGTCCTGGAAGGTGATTCTCACAAAATCAGAAAGACCAGCCTATATTCAAGAGATTTGGTAGAGCAGTGCTTTTGATCTTGATGGGGCTTTCTGTATCTGCCTCATTACATAAAGACCTTACTAACTCATTGAGTAAGAGCTGAGAAGGGAAGCTGTGGTTAGGGAAGGAAGCATACCCAGGAATATGTTCCTTCCTGGTTATCATGGCATTTCCCTGTGGTGCGATGTCAGCCTGATGAAGCAATTCTGCACAGCCCCACACAGATAATGCCTCTAGTGATGGCAGCCTGAGGCACGGCCTCCTCTTATCTCACACAACTGGTCATTCCAGGAATGTTGTCTCCAGCAGAAATATAGAACCCCCAAACCTGCATAAGACTTCCTTGCAGCACAACATGTGCTATAAACGTCACATGCCTTTAGTAGTCAACAGGCCTTTATTTCTCCAATGGCAAGGTAAAATCAGAGAGTATTTTTCTCTTAAATACCTGGAGGTGTTGAAGTTACTGGAGTGGAGACTGATGGTGTAAGTTCACTTGTGGTGGAAGCAATGTGTGTGGTCGAGGTGATAATTTCTGTTGGAATCCTGGATGTAGTGGTGAGAGGTACTGATGTCTTGGTGGTGGTTGAAGTTGTAGTTCGTGGTGTACTAGGTGTAGGTGTCACCTCACAGGGAATTTCTTGCCACTCACAACAGTTTACCCTGATTTCATAATTATAGCAAAGTTGCCACATAGTTACATCTTGCTCCTCATTTTTACATATTAGTCCATACGAAACATTACACTGCACTTTCTGACCAAGTTCCTCTAAGCTCACATCAGGTTTATCCTCTGCCCTGCATTCAATTTTTTCAGGAGCTTCACATATTTTGTATCCATGTTTTCTTATTTCATCGTATGTTTCATAGTCACCACCATCTTTTTCAGGATTACTAACATCAAACCACTCAGTCCAATCACAGATTAATCCAAAGCATGGAGCTGCAAGAGAAGACAGAGATTTCACATCTGAGTTTACAGAAAATATTCTGAGAAGATCAATTTTTTATTTTCTTCCATTAAGGACTAGAGGAATGCATTGCAATTTGTCATCTTTCCGAAGAAAAGAGTTTTAAAATTGGTTCTATATTACCAGGGTTTTAAACTGGAAGTTTTGCATCAAAATAAAATCACCAAGCTGACACATTTAAAGGTTCTTCTTCCGTCTATACCAATCACACTTTTGGAATTATAAAAAATTATTTTTTTTTAAATATATTTTTCTGTAGTGATTGTCTTTATTGTACTCTTCCTTTAAATATTTCTTTGACATTTTTTAACTTTGATATTTTAAAACTTACTTGTAGTAACTGGATGGCTTGTAGTGGTAACTGAAACAGAACAAAAAGAGATTACTCCATCAGTTTCAAGCTTTCAAAAAATATAATAGTATGTTTAAATATCCTAATTATAATTCTTTGCTGACACTACTGAGAAAATTGAGATGCTAACATTTTTGTCAGAATTAGGAAGGCACCCTGTACATTTATAGTTATAATTTCTTCTATAAGAAATAAATCAACTCAAAATGTTAAAATCTTTCTTACTGTAGTGTGATAAAATTGTGTTGCTCTATCTGTGTCATAAGCATTGCTCTGTGTCATCTATAAGCCCATATACTTATACATTCAATATTTAAAATACTTTTCTTAAAGAAAATAATTTTTAAATCACATCTCTGTTGAAGATTTACCTGTGGTGGTAAGAGTACTGGTAGGAAATGAGGTTGAAAGGACTGTAGGTGAGGATGATGTTGGACAAGGGTAGATTTTATCTGGAACCACAGAACCATTTTCTGCACAAATGTATGTTATACATATGTCACCATCCTGTACTTGTGCCACAGTCTGACCCACTTCATAACTCGTTCCATTGATGACACAAGGACACCCTGCAAGAAAGAGCTTTACTGTGCAATTTTTCTACTACCGGGTAAGAGGCAAAGGCAAAATACTTATGGAAAAGAGACCATTTACATGAGTTATGCATGCTTTTTCAGAGCTGCACCTGGATCTTAGATCTAATATATTGTGCTAATTTATCTTTACATTTAAAGCAACATGAGAACATATTTAATCAAGTCCTGCATAAAACATTTGGAGGAACCGACTTAGAAACTAAGTTTTAAAGTGTTCTGAGAGAAATAATAATTGTAATTTACTATCTGACAGTTTTCCATAATAACTACATATTCAGGAAGTGCAAATTCTTGTAGTGAAATCCATTAGTTTAAATACAAGGACATGGGGAGAAAAAATGAAGGAACATGAGATAAAGGTTGAACAAGAAGTACTAAGAGCAAGATTCAACAAAAGTGCTACCCAATTTTCTTTGTTCAGAACTTTCACTGGCACTGGAGAGAATTATTCTAAATCAATACTAACTCTTTTGTAGAGTTAGACCTAGCAGTTCTATGCATTTTTTAATTATTGTTTGTAGAAAACCCCAAACATTATTTACCTGGAACTGGTTTACATTGTATGGATCCTGAGGGGCCACAGACACTAGAAGAAAAATTTTAAACAATTAAAATGTTGCTGATGTTTTATGACAGCTGTTAGCAGAGCCAAGAGCACAGAAACACAGAAATTTGTTGCTTGATCTTCATTCACACTACTGTGTATTTTTCTGGATACAATATTCTCTAGTATTGTCTATCATTGTTTCATTCAAACTATGTCATCACTTTCATTTCTTTAAGTACCACATTTTAAAACTATCATGATACACATTGTGTTGCAAGTTGCAACAGTACAATAACAACTGTGTTTCAGAGCTAGATAAGGGTCACCGTGTGGAGCCAGCGGTATAAGTGCTATCACTGGCAAGGCTCTATGACTGAGCTGTTAGGACTCAAGTGTCTCTTTCAGGGCTAGTATAGAGTATTTCAGATTATAGTGATTTCAGAAGTCCAGTTTTAAGTGAGAATGCAAAGCAGAGTAGTCCCTCTCTTCCCAGAGCCACGAAGAATCAAAAGGTTCTTCTAGAGACTCAGCCAGGTTTTGTGCCATTATGACATTTATATCACTTCAAAGAGTATAAATAATGAATTTGGTAACACACTTATTATAACAAGGCTACCAACCAGAAATCTGAATGGTTATGGAAAATTATGAAATGCAAGAATATACCAGCTCTTCAGCTGAAGTTTCATCTCTATTTGCTTGAAGCCCAGTAAAGTAAATGAGAGACTTAGCATACATAAATTATTTCCTGAATTACTGCAAGAGTTTTTGTAATTTTTATATACCATATTGTACAGTTTTCTTTTGTGGGTATTTCATGCCCAGGGGGAACTTGAATTCCATCGATGTAACACCAGCATTGATCTTCAGGCACACATTCCTTTGTCTCTTCATTGTAAATAGGCTTGTCCTTAGGACATCTGGGGTAGCAGCCTGTTGATGACAAGTAAAACAGTATACAAGAAGAAGAAAAAGTATAAGAAGTTAACTCAGTGATAGGTTACCTTCTGAAGGTAAATGATTCTCACTGAATCAAGCATAGTGAAAGAAATCAAAAACTATTCAAATCAATACTTGAACAATTAGTCTTTCCAAAAGACTTAAACAGTTTTCATTGAAAATACTGGGGTGAGGAGGATTGAGCCAGGGTTTTGTAATGAAAACTAGGGAAGCTATTTTTCCTACCTATTTCAACATCTTGGAGAAACCCCTAATTTATATTCATTTCTGTGGGCAGCTAGTAAGTTTAAGACAAAGAAACATCCTAATTTTTTTATAGATCGCTACATCAACAATACTTTTGTGAGGAATATGGAAGCAAATTCACTAACAAACAAGTTTTTTAATACATTTTTTGGAACATTAGCACTTGTTTATGTGCCTTTAACAGACCAGGTATCTCCACCTCAAACTGATAATTTATCTGCACTTTTCCATACCTTTGGTCAGTCATCCAAACTCCACTGCAAGGGATTAATTGACTGTCAATTCTCATTGCATTTTTCATATAAATACACTTTAAAAAATATTTAATGTGTCCTGCCTCCAAATAAACTCTTATGAAATCCTCTTTATACTACACTGGAGTTCTACATAGCCTTTAAAGTGAAGTACTGTGTATTTAACTGATATTTAAAGTCCCATTACACTGCCAGACTGTAATAAAGATGTCCTAACAAAAGTAGGTGTGCTCTACATTTCTACTGAAGATAAACAACAAAAATAATTTAGAAAGATAATTGGCTATATAATAATCTGCCTTCTGACACTTTCCAAATCTTTCTAATAATCTAAGACAATCTATTTTAAAACATAGAGGTTTGCTGATTTTTAAAAAATATTTTGGTTAGGAATTTTTGGGGGTTTTTTTGTTTTGTTTTGTTTTGTTTTGTTTTTCCCTTGGGTTTTGTTTTGTGGCTTTTTTTCTTTTCATTTTTTTACTAGCAGTCCAAAGCAAAGTCAAGCTTGAGGCATTTCTTTTCAATCCCTAAACCAGAGATAAGTGCTTCCAGTCCAGACCAAAAGACTGTGTAGCCAAAAATGTGACTGTTTTCTCCAGCTTTACCACGTGGTAAAACAGAAGACATTTGTAAAGTCATTCACATTCTTGGATCATTGCAGTCACTATAACATGAAATTCCTTTTCAGTTGTCAAGCACAAGGACTTTCACCTACTAATATGGCATCTACAAATGAAATAGAATCTCCAATAAGAATCCAATATACAGCAGCATCTGTGTGTCTGATATCAAAGATATTTTCCAGGGTAAAGGTAGGAGAATGCTGCACATTAATCCAGTAAAATCAAGATGATCTGATGCATAAATAAGGTTATAAGTTGATGCATATATAAGGTTAAAAAACCCCAATTATCAGTAACTTGCTTCTTTACCATATAAAAGATTTTTCCTTCCCTGAAATACCTTAAGAAGGGAGGTAAAATAACCATGGTGTAATAATCTTGCATGTATGAGGATATTACCCAAGCAGAGACCCAGTTTTATGGCTGACAGCATTTTAACTATCACCCACTGATGTTAATAAATTCCATGATAGGAAACGCTTATGTAAGACTGGAGACAAATTCAACATAGCAGATTTAGGAACATCTCATCAAGCTGATTGATTATTCCATACTCATTAAAAGGTACACAAAGTTATATAAAACAGAATACAGGAATTTATTACCTTCCAGGTATGGTACTGTAAAGTTGGTGCTGACATTATTAATCATCCTGCAGGTTGTGATATTACTGCCACAAGGCTCATAGTGCCACTCACACTCATCGCGAGGGTTGTAGTAGTCACAAAATATTGCTGATGGGAAAAAAGAGAAGTTGATTAAAAACAGGGTTGTCCAAATGCAGTTCTGATCAGGTCTTTAAAGGCACAAGATAAATAAATTTACATGGTAAGCCAGCAAAATTTCTCCTGAGGTATAGGACCTGGACTTTCTGCTACTGTGCTTAAACTTAGGGTACAGCAAAACTCTGGTGCCCAAGATTTCTACTAGCAAACTCCTAAAAATTTTTGCAGTATATACAAAATAGTTCCATCTTGCTGTATCACATAGGCTGTGAGTCACCTGCAGCAGGCCAAGAGCAAGCATATGAGTCATTATGGATACAGCTTAAATTCAGCTTAGATGACTATGGACAAAGGAGCTTTTACTAACTTATATATCAGAGTTGACTGAAACTTATAATTTTTTTTCACTGACTTCTTACACTGAAAAACAACAATTAGTCCTAATTCTGAAACAGAATGAATTTTTAAAAATAAAAAATTTTATATTTCTGACATTCTGAAAATTTGGATTTGAGTACTTTTTGGGTAATAAAATTAAGTACTATCTTACATTGTTCACAACATTAATTAGGTTCATCTACACAGGAGTGCTACATACTTTTTGCTAAAATCAAATTCTGAATAATGTGAAGAAATGAGAAAGGAAAAAGATAATGGGAGTTGCAGTTCACCAACTATCAATTGGAAGGATGACTTTAAACAGAAAGGAAAACCAAAAAGAGAAAAGTGGAAAAGGGAGAAAGGGGAAAGGGGGAAAAGTGAAAATGAGAAAAGGGGAAAAAGAAAGAAGCCAGGTTGAATAAAAGACAATTGAAATATACAAATTTACTAGTCCTGATTGTTCCCTGATATGCTGTGAAAATAAATTTCATTGTGTAGGCAGCATGATCTTGCAGCAATAGCATTAATGATTTATTTGACTGACTTTCTGACAGCAGCTAGAAAGATACATTTGTGTTTAACTATTACTCACGGCATATATCAGGAGTTCTCCAGAAAACACAGGCCTCAACCTTGGTACATTCTTGGGCATAAGCAGCAACTGCAGAACAGAAGCACTCACAATCTCCACCGCTGTCACAAGAGCAGGCATCATGAACACAAGCGTCATAGAAAGGAACTGGGTCCACCTGTTGGGGAAAGAAATGATGCCCCAGTTCATCTCCAAATTAGTTTTCAAATAAGTTTGAGAGCTCTTGAGACATGGGAATTCAGCTGAGTAGAAATGAGACTGTTTCTAAGAATTACCAATCACAAACAAACATTTACAGGCTTGAAGCTGCTCAATATATTTTGGGTAATAATAGACTTAAAAAATACAGCACCTTCATAATTTGCTATGACTGAAAAAAATAAGAGTCCTTGGCAGTGCCCACATTTTCTAACAGAGTTCCATTTTAGTGCTCTCAAATCCAAGCTGAATTGATGCCAGTGAATTCTTATCTTCCAGCAATCTTTGCCAACCAAGTGGTGAGCAATGTCAGAAAGGCTGCTCTACACAGCAAATATGAAGCAGATAATTTTGTGCTTGTTAGTATTTAGAGTTTATCTAAGGACAAATTAGCAAAGCATTTTTTTGCTTGGGACTGCAAGAGGAGAAACTTAGACTGGATTTTAGCTGCTGAAGTGATCCACATGGAAATATATAATAAGTTAAATAAATTGACAATTATTTGTGACTTTTCTACTGTGAGTTAAGAACAAACTGTGTATGCTATGGCCATTTGGAGGCACAGTACCAGCAGCTGCCTGTCTAAACTGCATGATGTCAGTGGTCTCCAAGGAGATCCTTTCTGTGGAATTGAATACTACAAGAAGCAGTAGTATTCAGCACCAGCACCCTTTCAAGTATAGTATGCGTTTCTGTCAGGAGATGAGTCTGATGATTGTAAGGTCTTTCAGAACTTATAATACTGACTGTCTCTCAACAAGAGGTGGTGCAACTGCAGCAAACACGACGTAGACAGGGTAGATTTATGAAGTTGACTTGCAAAGCAGTAGCAGTGAAACTGTGGTGATGAATATGGGTTTGTACAGCTGGGGCTGCCACCACTACTGACACAGTCCCACTGCCACAGAGGCTCAGCCTACTTTGACTAAGGCTAGGTGAAATGTGCTAACACCTGTAGCTGTACTGAAGACTTAATTAAAGATCCCTCTATTCATTAATTCATAATAACCATCTCTTCATTAATTTCTCATGGTCTCTCTGCTGCTGCAGTAACAGAAATGCACTGTGCTGTCCCATCATCTACTTCCTTCTACAAACCTTGGAGTGACAAATTTTGAAGACTTCGCTCAGGATAATGCTGCACTCTTTCTCTGCCCAGGACTTCCGATGTGGTTTCATATCACAAGGCTTAATCTCTTGTGTGACATCTGGGCACATGGGAGACTGTTTCCAGGAATTCCCAAACTTCAGAGCATTGGTCTCCTGCAGTCCGCTCCTTGTTACAAAGTCATTGTTTGACTTGTCATCAAAGTTGCCACACAGACCACACACTTTGCCCTTGAAAAGAAAATTGACATATCCACAGTTTTTAAATATAGCATGGAAGTGAGAAACAGGCTCTGGTAAAGTAAGAGCAAAACATTGACATTAAAAATGATGGCTGTCTGTCTGTGTAAATGATGACTTTCATCTTTATTCCCAAATCATTTGTACAGAAAATAAATTTTTATTTGTCTGTGTACTCAGCAAACTATTCAGCTGCTGTGTCTTCCCTCCTTGAAACCAATTATATCTAGTGTATACATTCCATATCTCTGTCCCCATATCCACTTAAAACACTAAAGAGTGGCCAAGCCTTTTTCAGCTGAGAAGAATTAATTTATTTTCCATTCTTCTCAATTTATCATAGCTCAGCTATTAATATAAGCCTCAGGTAATTCAATTCAGCTCAAAACTGTTTTTTTTTTTAAAAAGCTTCTAACATAACGAGCACTATTTCCTCATCCATGGAAAAGAAATTACAGGGATCCATTTCACTTGAAAGAAAACACTTCGCAATCTACCCTCAGTAGTGAATTTTTGGTAGTGCTATTTAAGGTCCATCAGCCTTTCAAGATATAGTACGTCCCTGTTTATACAATGCCTCAATACTCTCCAATTCAGCATGCTGATTTTCAGAAACCAGAACCATCTCCATACAATGCATAGGGAGTTTGGTTTTAATACAGGGTTGAGATTGTGTGCAGGTTTCCAAGTGCTTGTCCTGTCAGTTTGCATCCCTAAATCACTTTAGATGGTTGGCTATCAACGTTCACAAACTCAGAGTGTGTTAGATGTTTAGCTCTACTGCAATAATATCCTATGCATTCTCTGCAATGCATTGTGATAGACTGTAAGAAACCCCAGTAGCACCTCTGCAAGCTGTGGTAGTAATAATGCAAGCTAATCAATGTGAAGAGAGTCAGGGAGTCAGAATAAAAGAATATTAATGTTTCCTTATCTTTTCATAATACTACTTCAGAAAAAGACAGACAGGTCCTAACTTTGTAATCGGGGCTCAGCTTGACGAAAACAGTAGTCTTCTTATCCCAGATAAGCATCACACCATTGCTAGCCTCAATAACGAGGTAGAGGCCTACTGTCCTGTTCCAATAAAGCACATCATCACCAACATCTCGCTGAATTTCTTTGTACTCTTTGTTCTCCAATTTCAGTTCAGTTTTCTGAAAGATAAAAAGAGAAATATTGTAACTAACTTTTACGATGAGAGAAAATATTAGACACTCATTACAATGCAATTCATTCTGACACTAATAGCTCAGAGTCTGGGATGACTTTCCAAGATGACAAGTGGTGTAGCACTTGTGTTTGTGAGAGGTTTAATCACCTGAGGATCTACACCTTTACAGATTAATTTGATATGGCCTCTAACACTAGTTACAGGTGCTTTTAGGGATGTGGCTTTGGAGCATTACTTTTTTGTTAATACTTGAATACTGATATATACTCACTGAGTATCATTACTCACCCCTAGAAACATTTTGATAGCTTTTGAGCAGGTGACTCCTGTAGTTCCACAAGGGACATTCTCTGTGATGATGCTGAATGAGCCACTGGAATTTTTGTCACCACAAAAATCCTATTGAAAAAGAAAAAAATAAGCATGAGAAAATTAGGTAGAATATTTCATTTTAGTTCAATGTCATAATAATTACAATCATTTAAGTCTTCACAATGTACAAATCATTACTGCTGCTTCAAATGTGAGATCCTACATACATATATTTTTACAGACTCACAATCACATACACAGATTTCTCTGCATACATACAAATAGTGTCTTGGCCTGGGAAAGCAAGTAGGACAATAAAACGAACTGACAAATATATTTTTAAATATAAGTATCTTTGGTTTCTAAACTTAGAATATGGATTTATTTTGCAACTGATAATGAGCTGTTAACTCTCACTATAAAATAGTTCTGTTACATATAGTTTATGACCACTATATGAGAAGAAAAAGTGACATTCACACAGCCGGCCTGCACTGGAAATACACAATTTCTTCCAGGAGAATGTGTGAACACCTCAGGAACAGTGATGGCACACAATAAAGAATGACAAAACCAAAGAGGAAAGTAGATCTTCAAGGCAATCAAATGCCATTTCAGCCCTCCTGATGAGCATTACCTGAATAGCCACATATTCACAATTCCCATCAAAGTCATAGAATTTTCCATCAAAAGTGATATAATGGCCACTTCCATATATCATACAAGTCCCATAGCACTCATTGGCAGTGCAGCTCCAAACCCCTTTTTGGCAGGTACTAGAAAAGAGCAGAGAAGTTGAATTTTTAGGCGCGCCAAGAGTGCGCCATTTGGAAAACTGCAAACCAAACCAAGCAGCTGCCTAATACAATATGATAATGTGCAAAATATCCAAGTCTCAATTTCAACAGTTTTGCCTGGTTTTAAGCTTATAATGTGATTTTAAACTCTGGTCAGCTAAAGATCTTCAGATCTTTAGATAGCATTTATATTTAAAAAATGAGTGCATTTTCCTAACACCAGATGCCTACTGAAAACAGAGGTAGCTACTGCCCCAGTATTTTCAGCAGAACCTGTGTTTCCTCAGATAGCAATAAATATTCCTGGAAATAAAAGATGATAATTACAGTTTTTGCAGCCGCTGTAATGCATAAGCCTAGACATGACTATTAATACATGGCATAGAATATATTCTAGAAGAGAGTTCAAAATTATAATTTACCAGGTGTTGCAGTCCACTGTTATCTTCTGTCCAGAAGAATACCACTCGTTGTTATGAATGCATGGGCAGTCCTTCTCCTCAACACAGCCTCCTCTGCCATCATCAAATAGACCTTCAGGACACACACAGCCTGAGACACACTCTGTCTGGAACTAAAGAATATAAGGAGAAACGGTTACCTTATGATAATGTACTGCATTTTAATTCCACTTCTTCACAAGCACACTTTAAAAACTGCATTTATAACCAAACAGCCTAATATTTATTAGTTTTATAAGGTTCTTCTTTCTAGGTTAGTAATGTTTTTCTTTTCTATTTTGGTTGTCTAAGAACCCAAATCCTATTTCCCTTGGGAGTTACAACTCTACTGAAGACACAGTAAAAAGAAAGAGGAGAGGGAAACTCTAAGGGGATTCATCATGAAAATGGCAACAGATTAACATCGTTGGGGAGAAAAAATGGAAGATTAAACCAAAGAGAAATAAACTGTTAGTTACAGCTGTATTTTCTGTGTAGCACTCTGTCATTTAGAGAATACAGAATAAAGAAAACATGACCTGAAGAAAACTTGAATACATACATGATTTGTTAGAGGGGTATGACAGCTAAGTTGTACGGGTGTTTGTGAAGTCCATTTTGAGGATGCATTGCAGTCAAAGAATGTCTTGTTAGAAGAACATTGTTCTGCACCTGAAAGGTATATTGTTGGCTTAGATCAGTCAAGAAAAGGCAAAAGAAATGTGTGTGAAAGATGGTAGTTACTGAGACAGAAATCTCAGCACATGCTTTATCCTTTTGGAAAAAAGAGGCTCAGTGAAGAGAGAACAAAGTGAAAATGTGTAACGTTTTACATAGAAAAAATCATCCAAAACGAGTAAGTGGAGAATTCAAAAGGAAAGTAGTTTGGGTTTGAAGGTTGGTTACAGTTTTTATTTTATTTTACTTTATAGAATGTCACTTACTTTTCATTCTTAATTTCACCGAGGTACACTGAACCTTTGCATTTCGGCAAACACTAAAAAAGTGAAGTAAGTGGAAATTAAAAAAAAACCAAACAAGCTCAGTGTCTTCAACTTAAGTCTAAGGATTGGTTTATATAAATTTTAGAGTATTTATCAAAGATGTTCTGCATAATTTCTACTGATATTTCAAGTCAATTCTATTGAAACACAGTCACGAATTTTCACTTGGAGAAAGAGTGTAGCAAGATTTTAGGTCTAATGCACAGAAAGGTTATGTTTTAAGGAGTGACAGCCATTTCATTAATCCTTAATATTGCAGTTTTTGATGGCTCAGGAAACAGATAATAATGAAACAGATAAAAATGGGAATTTAAATCAAAGACTTCATTTGGATACACAGTGTATTTTCATGCCTATTCAACTCATATTCTGCAAATTTGTTGGCCTGTATGCTTCTTCTCCTGGGCAGGAGAAGGTAATAACAGTTTGCACCAATGACTCAGGCAGCAAAGAATTGCCAAGGTTCATGGCGAAATACAACAGAATCATGAAAGTTGCTTTCAAAAGCCTATGCTATATTAATACATATCAAGGGGACCTTCCTCCCACAGAAAACACAAGTAATCTGTCTCTGCCAGAAAAGGAAACAGCAACATAACATATAGTTGGCCTTTTATCTTCTTTTTACACCTCTGCTTAACAAAGCCCTATTAACAGTGCAGCTTCAAAGTAATGTTTATCTGTGAAGGCCAGTACTCACACCTCCAAAGCAAGCTGCACTTCTCAATTATTGATAAATTAAATTGCAAAAGCATAGTACTTTGCTCGGCATGAAGATATTGTGAAACGTATTACAAATGTTCATTAAGTACCAAAAAAGCTAAGCACCTTACACCTAATAAGCAATTTTTTTAAAGTCTTTTATCCCAACAAACAAGAAGCCACAAAAAAACATACCAGCGTTCTCCATCTTTTGTAAAATATTCCCCAGGTTCCAGGTATGATCCCTTGTAATAACATGGGCACTCAGAGATGGGCACACAGTTATCCTGTTTATCCAGGTATGTATTAGGCGAGCAGCCACAGCCATCCACAGGAGCATAGTCTTGCAAGCAATACTTTTCACCATCAGCAAGGGAACGACAGGTTTGCTGGCACCTTGTAATGTTGTAAAGGAAGACTTGATTTCCTGGACAGGCAGACACTTCACTGCCTGGAGGGAAAATAAACAAACTGATAAATAAGACATGCAGGACGGACAATTTAGCCTTGACATTTCCATTTTGGTTTCCTTGGCTGTGCGGTATGTAATGATAAAAACATTCCCTTAGATTTTATTAAAGTACAAAAATATCAGAAGTGACAAGTAACACTAACCTAACTTTTCCAGTTGAAGATTTATTTTTAACTGTTACTAATAGTTTCTACTTTCATACCCCTATTTATTTCACATACTGATAATCAGAGAGAGAGAGCACAATATAATAAACTCCTAGTCTCAACAATACCACACTGTTGATGAAAAGCTAGCATGATGATAAACAAAGACACTGATAAACAAAGGCAACGTAAAAGCCCTGATGGCTGGGATTCCATTAATCAAAGAAATGACATTAGTATTTAAACTGGGGAAAGAAGGTGAAAGTGAAAAGTAATGCTTTCTACTTTTAAATATGTCATGAACAAATTACAGCTAAAGAATATAATATGAATTAGTAAACGTTATAAGCATTGTCTCTTTTAGGTCCATCAGACATTTCTAAGATACTCCAAATCCCTTAACATTGAGATCACTAACAACCAAATGCAGAGAGAGCCTGCTTGTTTCTTATGGCTAATTAATTCAACAGGGATTACAGTTCCACTACTTACTGCAGACACTGTCTCTCCAGCCTCCCAGTATGATTCCTTTGAAAGCACAGGCTCTCGAATAAGAGGACAGGGCAGCACACAAGCATTCTTCATTATCTTCACAGAGGCATGTGTCATATTTACATTTCTGAAAAAAAGAATGAAAGAGTCAGTAAACTCACAGGAAACCAATTGGCAATTGCAACTGAGTTGCTACAAAATATCTTGTGTACTTTTCCTGATGTTGTTTATTAATTCCCATGACCGGAGAACAATGGAAGGAATGGACAAAGACCAGAGACTGAAAGTGCTGCTTCATTTCATACACAATGAATATGTTTGGATGCTTACTCTAACCTAAGCCAAGCCTCCTGAACTTTTAAAAAATATCCAGCCTCCTGACAACACCTTTTTCAAAGGATATTGATACTGTTCTTTCTCAGTTACAAATTAGAAATGCAGAGATCCACAAAAAATAGAAATCATAATGGCAAAATATTAACCAGATCTTTGAAGATCTTCACAACATTTGAGCTCAGACTGAGTTCCAAGTATAAGAAATAACTTTGGTATTTCTTCTTTTTCCTCAGTAAGCCTCACTTATGCTCAACACCAACGAGCACAGGGGAAAAAAAATCATGGAGATTCTGGCATGAAAATGATTTGGTGTTACATTCCAACCAATATATAGGAAACTTTTTTTTCATGACTTTATAGCAGCTAATGTTTAAAGGTAGTTGGTGCACATTTGCATCTCTTGAATCTTCTTTTCAGTTCAAATATCCAATCCAATAAAAATGTTCATTAAATACAAAACATAAGAAAGCAAACTTCAGCAGCACCTTGTAAGAATCTCGTCAGAGGAGATACTTTGGATACACGCCACGCTGCTTGAGTCAATCAATGCAAAGAGTTCACCAGCACTTATGGGCAAGCTACCGGGTAATGTCTCAAACATTTGAACAATGTTAAATGTCTACAGTTAACCATCTGAAATAATGCAGTACTAAAAAGCGTGCAAGATTACAATACCTTATAGTATTCTGAAGGATCAATGACTAAGTGACATCTTGCAAAAGGACCTTCTGGGTTTTTCAGCAAAGAACACCAATGCTCAGCATAATTTGCTGAAAAAAAAAGAGAAATTCATCACAATTCTTTATCTTCCTTGTGCCGTGTCTAGTTACGCTGACACATAAATTCAGAAACATGTAATAATAAAATCAAAACCTGTATCCTACTGCTGCAACTGGTTTACATAGAATTGTGACAACCCTTTCCATTTGAGTACCCTGAAGCTAAGTTAAACATAAGGATAAACAATACTAGGAAATACAAGCGCCTTTACAAATAATATAAATTAATGATCTTGCTTCCCAATCTTCCGGCTCAGGACCCTTCTACAATCACCCCTTAAACTTTCACTTCAGTTTGATGGGAAATGAGTGCTTGTATGTGAACATACGTGCAGATATTAATCTAAAAAATCTTCAACGCCACACTACAACTTTTACACGCCTGTTGCAGTAATATCCAGCAAACACTGCTCATTCTGGCAGAAGCCAACCATCTGACTTATTCATGTACTTACCACTTTCAATGCTGAGACTGCAGGGGTCTTCCAGCTTTTCTACCCTGTCTGTACAGATGGACTGAGCTTTCCATGTGTTAGCAAAGGCAGATCCTGTAGCTTCTACCAGCCCACTGGTTGTTTTAAAATCATCACCTTCCATTCCATTAAAGTTTCCACAAAGACCTATTGGAAAAGAAGGTAAAAATTTTACATAATCATTACTCATTCTCATATTAAAAGGTCAAAGAAAAGGGACAACTGGTCACAAACACAAGAAACAGAAGTTCATACAGCTGATTATTCCACCTCAGTATTGATGCAAATGACAAATACTGAAGTTTTAGGAGCCCTATTTTAAATCTTCAACCTCTTGAGAAGAATAGTCTTCATGAAGATATCTCTGTCTCAGGAGATTACCACCTCAACCTGTAATTTTACGCTTTCTGATGATATTGAAAACACAAAAGGCACCAAAAACCTGTTTTTGTGTATAGTTAAAAATTAAACTGAATACAGAAGTAAGGAATATTATAAGAAATATCTCTGTACTGGCACCAGAGTGATAGATCATTTCAATGTGAAAAAATAAAAACACATTTCTAGTTTGCTTGAGTCCATTTGCTTCCAATGATTTGGTTTCTGCTTTCAGTTTCCTCTTCTTGAATCAACAAGTAGCATGAGTTATCTCTCATGTAAAGAGTACATGAATCTTCAGCTGTGGAACAGCATGACTTTGCTTCCTATTTGAATAGACACTTGCCTTGAATTTCTCCTTGAACTGATTGATCCACAGTCACAAACAGTTGCATGACTGGAAGCAGTTGGATCTGCACCTGAAGCGCGAAAGATGTTTGTACAACAAGGTAGTTGGAAGATGGCTTGAATACTGAGAAGCTGGCTGAAAAACAAAACATGAACTGTGCAGTAAATACACACACAAGCTGCCAGAAGAAATACTTTTTATTAGATTCTAAGGTATCACCTGTCATGAAAACTCTGAGACCAGGATCAAATTAATAATTTTTTTTCCTTTAAAAATCACTGGCCTACTAGGTACGATGATGGTCCTCACTAATTTAAAAAGCTCATTACATGTAGTGACTCATCTCTGGGACCAGAACTAAATGGCGTACACACAATGTAGCCAAATTTGGAAAGTGCTAAATACCCCGCTTCACAGGCAAGGTAAATTATCTGCTTTAACTTTCTGTCATGGCAATTCCTCTTTCTCAAGCTACATGCCAAAGTATATTCAAGAGTTACGAAAAAAGTGAAAGGACATTTTTTCAGTCATCCACTCTATACAGAGTCAGTGATCCCATTAAATCCTCAGATGTCTATTAAATCACATTCATTCCCACCTTGTTACCAAATCTGAATAAATTTCCTATGCCACTCTTCCACTTTTGCCTAGGAAAAAAAACATTCCTACATGAGAAGTCAGGTGTGACTGGACATACAAGACTGTGTCACTTACCTGACACATGAGGCACATTCACTGTCATCTCATTCAGTAGCACACTGCCATCGGATCTGAAAACCACCACCTGTACAATGGCAAATAGAATCAATGAGGTTCCAAGTACTGGGAGGAAAAGGAACTAATAAAAAGGAAATTAACAAGAAAGGCCTTTTGCACATTTAGGCTGTGACTAGAACTTTAAATTTTTGAAAGGAAGAAACCATCTGAAAATTTAAATGGCAGCAGACCTGTAGGATACAAGTACGGTTTTGATTTGCTATTCAGTGTTTCGCTTACATCTGCCTACAACAGTAATGAGATATAAAACTCATTTATATTGGGCACTTTGGTTTCAACAAGTAAAAGAAAATATTAGGTCTTCAGGATCTGTAGCAAGTTCCTATTCCTTATAAAAGCATGTGCCACAGCTTCAGTGAAATGGTTTAGTATGATTCCGGCATCGTCAGAAAGCAGTTTATGAAACTTCTTCATAAAATGCTAGTCTGTACACACAGAAACATAAAATTATTGGTTTCTGAATCAGTTTTCTTTTGTTCTAGTTATGCTGGCAAAGACATGGAAGTCCAGAAATACATGAGGAAAATTATATGTACATGTGTGTAAAATTATGTATAAACATAATCTATATATTACCACAACCAAACAGAATACTAAATTGAATATTTGAGAAGGTTGGATTGTATTGACATTCAAAGATAGGATTTCTTCTGAAAAATATTTATAAAACTATATCTGAATAAAGTAAAATACTGTGAGGGGAAGAAGAACGGGATTCTTGCTTCCAGATACCTGGAATACTGTGAGAATAATCATATAGCACAGAGTAGAAGAGTGAAGAGGGGAAAATGTCAGCTGTTTTGAATTTCACCTTTTGTTAAGTTTAGATCTATTTTGGATTCTCGAGGCAGAAACCTGAGTTGTTCTTTAGCCTGTCTGAGGTGCCTTATCTATCCACAATAACAACTCCAGAAGAATTAACCGTTCCTCCACAATAAGGGAAATATGCTGATTTTCAGCGTATCTAGCAGAACCCATAGAACAAAACTTACATTTTTTTTATGATCTGCTAACAGCACAACAGTCTTCAAGCAGGTCTGCCTGTCTGTGGAGCCACAGGGAGCCAGCTCTGCCAGGAGAGCATAACTGTCATTTGCAGTACCCTACAATCACAGGGAAATAAATGTCCATTAGTCCGATCAAAAAATCTCACAAGATGACTTCCAAACAAAAACTAAATTTATCTGTCACATAACTTTGCTACAGACCTTAGCTATTAAGACCACCATGTCAGCACTAGCTTTTACAGCTGAACATTCTTTCAAACAAATTCAGAGGCATGGTTTCTAGTTCAACAAGATTTTTGCCATTATCTAGAAGAACAGGCAATAGATATTTTGGGGACAGATGAATGAAATAGCCGCCTACCTCATTTCCCTAGCTGACTTCAACACTCAGACAGAGAAACAGCTATTACAGAACTGACTGAGAATTTCTGATCCTGAGATCTGCCAATTTTTGCAGTTTACCTGTCCATGCAGCCAGAGTGACTTTTTGATACACAAAGGACTCCACTGGATAATGACAGCATAACTATCTGACTGAGTTAATCACCCATTGCAATAAGTCCCCAGCTTCCCCCTAGGGCTATTACAGCCGACCCTGAACTTTCTAGTACAACTTTGAGCATTTCTGCTTCCCTTACTCCCATGAAACAAAACAATAACTCACAGCTGTTACATATCAGCCCACAGACACTTGTATATACTCTACAAGAGAACAACCCTACAGTACACAGTACCTTGGCCAATACATAGTAACAGTCTCCATGGAAGGTGTATTTCTTCCCATCAAAGGTGCTAATATGGGAACCTCCTTCCACTGAACACGTGCCTGGACAAGGTAAATCTTTGCATGTCCATCTGCCTGAATTACAGGTGCTATAAAAAGACAAAGAATAAAAAAAAATGCTCGTAGGTATTACAGGAGCTGAGAGCACTGAAAGCATCAGTATATCTAGCAAACAGCAAGATATCCCCAGGTTGTTTAAAACTGTATGTTTGACCATTTCCTTAAGATTTGCCCTGGCATATGCCATAGATTCAAGAAAACTTTTCAGAAATTTGGTTCTACAGACATGCAACATAAACATCAGGTTCAGAATGTTTTCAGGACGTCTCTTATGATCAAGTGGAAATTTGAAGAACACAGACCCACTTACAATCATTCAAAGAAAAGCGTATTCCAACCAGGATCCTTACCATTCTTCACATTCATTGGAAATGCTTTCTCCAGGTGCATACTGCTTTCCGAGGAGTTTGCAGTGGCACTGGCTAACAGGTACGCAGCCTTTTCCAGTAATATCATCATACACAGTTCCTATAAAACACCACATTAACTATTCCAGCTCTTTTTGAAACAAGCAATTTCCACAGAGGAGAAACTCTCAACTTGCCACACGCTGAGTTTATCAAAACTGCGAAGAATAGTGTTTCTACTTTTTGTAATGTAAGACACACGAAAAACACTTTTATCCACCTTTGAAAATCCAAATCTATTCATTTATAGAACTATACACAGATAAAAAAGCTTACTGTAAGTATACAGGAACAATCTCAGAATGTTATAGGTTTAGATTTTCAGTCCTTCTGGCATATTCTGAAGACTATCGTTGTAATCTTTCCCAGGGCTGACAGTAAATCTGAGAATTTCAATCTCAGTCCCTAATTGACACTATGGTAAATTATGTCCTTTGTCTCAGAACTATTCAACCTAAAAAGGTTGATTTTCTATATATTATCAGAAGTTCACTTGTTGAGAATTAAAAAGCAAATTTACTACATGTCATTGTGTTAATATGTTCAAACTATAAAATAATTGATTAATTAATCAATTATGACTGCCTCAAAAAAATCTTACAGTTATGTTCCCCTAGAGGGGAAAATAAGGAGAGCAGTACTCATTTTTAAGATATAATTTGACTATATTTAATATTTTAGCTATGATCTTCTTTGCCAGAGCTCTTGGTTTTGTTCCACACACAACAGGTAGAATAACACTTGCCTTCAGGGCAGAAACAACCATCCATGTAGTGTTCCTCACAAAGGCTGCTGATGTCCAAGTGTGAGCAAGTATCTGTGCAGGGTGAGCTGCTTTCTCTATAGACCATGGTATCAGGACAGGTCTTGGCTGAAAAAATAAGAAAGACATCAGGAGTTATTTGAGCGGAAAATCCATAATTCCTCAGAAACCACAGATCATATACCCTATTCCTCTCAAGCCAGTGATGTCTTAAGCCAGACTCCACCTGGCAAAGCATGTTTATCTATTTCTGAAGTGCTTTCCCTGTTTCATACATTTATTTCTTTTGGTTTCAGATAGATCAAATTATCTCGGTCATCAGCAGCATCAGCCCTCTCAGTCTTACAATGGGAACTGAATTTCTGCTTGCTGAAAAAGATTTCTTAATAACAAGGTTAATAGAAGAAAAAAACCAGGGAGAACACATTATGTAATTTATTGTACTCCTAGAATGAAATTTATAATATACGCCAATAGTTTTGTAAAGAAGTAATGAATTTAAATGTTTCGTGGTTCTACATCCATGAAGTATTTGGGTCTTTGTAAAATTTGTGTCGTTGCTTACGGCAAAAGTTCTGCGTCCTCCATTCACCCGGCCGGCCACCCGCGTGCGAACACTGGCGAGAATACTCAGAGATGGTGCTGCAGATGCAGAAGGAGTCCTCATTGCCGTTACAGGCACACTTGTCCTGCATGCAGGCTTGGATGTACGTTTCCAAATTAAGACGGAACCGACAATCAGCAAACGCAGAGGAAGTCAGCAGCCTCTCACACTCGTCACGCTAAGGAGAAAGAGTAATAATGTTTGAGAGATTTGTAAACATCTGAGCTTCTGGTCACTTCCTATCTTGCATAAAAACTGTTGTCTTCTGAACAGTTATTCAAGAAAGGAAAAGTAATCATTTGCCCTGGAATGGACAGTCTTCCAAGCTCCTTGCAACTAACTCCCCGTAGCACAAGGATGTGTCCATGCAAGTGAAGTTCACCAGTAGGAATACTCACATGCTTGTTACAGCTTGGAAGAGCCTGAGTTTCATCTGGATCTTCACATTTGGCATTGGGTTTGCTGATCTTCTGCAAATTCCCATATGTAATTGAATTGTAGCTTGCATCTATGAGAAAAAAATTTTGAGAACTTGCTGAGCCCCAAAAATTGACCACAAGGAGCATCTGATTCATGGGATTCTTCTGATCAAGGAAAACAATTACTATGGTGTCAAATACATGTCAGACACAAGTATCTGCTCTGAATTATGTTTAACTATACTTAAAAATGTAAAGGGGAAGAAAGAAAAGAAGGCTAGTTGAGAAAAGAACAATAAGATTCACCTGGAATAAAATAACCTTAGACCAGGAATGCAGCACTGGAACATGATGCTTAGTCTGGAGCAATCACAGAAATCTCTCAAGTGAAATTTGCTTTCCTGTGATGCTTCTATGTACAATGCTTGTCACCCTATCTTCTGTGACAACTGTCAGTATGGTAGAATGACTCACCTCCCTTGATAAACTCATTGTAGATTGGAATTCCATTGTAATCCCCACAGAGGCCACAGGTACGGTTATTAAATTTGTTGTCCAGCTCCACCTAAGTAATGAACGAAAGAGGAAAAACATAAAAGAATTCTCTTTTTTTTTCCTCCTCTTTTTTCCCCTACTGGGATAGAGAAATATCCCAGAAAACACCAAAAAAAGTACTTTGATTAAACATACCATCAGTGCATCCTGCTGATTCCACATCAGAACCATGCCTAATTTGGCATAAATTTTGGTGTAAATGTCATTGCTCTCAATGAGCAGACCAGAGCTGTAGTAAGGTGTCTTCACACTAGGAAGAAAATTGGAGATTTTACATTAGTTCAGAAACATAAGGCCTGACATGAATGTCTGTAATAAGCCAAATACCCTAAGGAACAGAGAAACCAGTCTCTGACTACCGCATCCTGGCTGCACAGGATGCCTTGTTTTAATGAGGCATAAAATATCTCTCTCCGACACTTGGGACAATAACTCATTGCCTTTAAAAGGCAAAGCTATTTCAGAGGCAAAGTTTACCCAAGGTCCTCTGATGAAAAAACCAAAATGTCAGATGTCTTCAACTTAATCAAAGGAAAATCCATCATCATTGTGGTATTAACAGAGGATATTCAAACACTCACTAAAAATTTACTTCCATGAAGGAAGCTACAACATAAATGAAAGCTTTTCTTTACCAAAAGATCTGATAACCATTTCAGAGAGAATGATTGTTCCTTTGGAAAGAACTTCCTCCTCAAAAGAGTTCAAAAAGCACAGGCAGATACAGGGATTGCCAACAAAATTTTGAAAAAAAGGAGCATTTTAAGAGGAATTGAGTAATTATTTCAGTAGTTAGTTACTTAGTTTTTGGTTGACAGAATGGTGACAGAACATACTTTGCAGAGGGTTGAGCACAGATATTTTTGTGTGATAAAGAATCAATTCACCAGATCTCTCCTGATTTTGTATGTCTGTCTTACAAATCAAACTGAACTGCTGAATTTCATTCAGCAATAAAGGGATTACGGTAAGCAGCCTCATCCTATAAAATCTGGAAAACTAGAGTCTGTTCAAGCAGAAGTAGTGTAAAGTGAAATCAGTCAAAATAACTGGTTCATTTTTTACAGATTTGTCAATATAATTGCTATCCATCAGGATTCATGCATGTGTATGCACATCTCCTCTTAACTAGTCTCTTGACTGGGAGAGCTTTATCTCTGAATTCCTGTCACTGGGATTTTTCCAACTACTTACCTCATGCATTTTTAACATGGCCAAATGACTTACACATCTAAATACCAGGTGCAAACACAGAAACAATTGTTTCTACTTTTGAATGCATTGTTCATCCTCTGGGCAATGAATTCTTGAGAGATTACATTTTTCAAGAGGGATTATAAAACACTGGGCATCTTTTCACCTTTCAGCTACCACTGCATGGAATATTTATCTTTTTTTCTAATTCTAGGACATTCACTCAATCAGTGGATCAGGTACCATAAGGCAAATTCATACATTTTTCTACTTTACACTTTTCATTTTAGTACTGTGAAATGCTATTTTACATGACAATGGATCATATATCATTTAAAGATCAATATGGAAAATTCAGTTTTAAAAAAAATAAATTCCCCAGGCATCAAAAACCTGTTCAGAAATGAACCATTGCCTTATGAACACTATGTAAGACAAAAAGAGGTTTAAAAGAAACAATTTTTAAAGGATTTCCAAACTTGCTTTTTATTGAGTTCAAGACCTGAGTACCCAATAAAAAGTTTTTTCAAGTTGGGGAAACAATGCATTTTTTAATATTTCTGTCATTTTTTTATGCATTCTGGTATGATCTTTGGAAAACTGGATGTGATTTTCAACCTTTGAACACATTTTCATTGTAGTGGCTTCCAAACTTAAGAGCAAAAGTTCAAATCTTGGCTAAACCAAGTCCTACAATGACAATAAAAAAGATTTTTTTTTTTTAATTATGCTAAAACACACTAATAGCCCGTTTCTTCAGAATCTTCAGACCTATTTCCTAACTTATGAGTAGCCTCCCTTGTTTCAGTGAGTATATATACACACACTGAAAGGTTAGGCTAATAATGGAAAGGCTAGGTTAAGACAGTACTTGACATCAGTAATGGTGTCGGACTAGTTTCTTGTGTAGCCATGTTACAGGAGAAAAACACTGCTGCTTACTGTGAAAAAGCACATATTGCCACATATAAATTACTGTAAATTTTGACCTGTGTTATATCTGTTAAAATTCCTTGAGAAGTGGCCATTGGAACTTAAAGAATTATTTATGAAGATCAGAAAAAACCTGCCACTCTACTGTCATTAAACAAGAGGAAAAGACCCCAGAGAAATGCATCTCTTTTTTCAGGATTTGCTAGACCATCTGCTAAGGTAAATTCAGGGTGATGCCACAAAACAAATGAAGCTATGTCATTTTATGCCAGTGAAAGATCTGGCTCATGATCTGCATTGTTTCCTGCACAACTGGAAGAACAATTCACTCAAACACCTCTTCCTTACTTTCATTTAAATAATCCCTTGTGCAAGTGTAGGAATGATGATTAATACTAAAGCACTGCCCCAAAACAATTTTTATGCTGGATTTCAAAAGGTGCTTTTTTTTTTGGATTGTGGAAATGCTTTGTAGAAGTTACCATAATGGTATATAGACAACTGTGTAAAGAATCAATCCTGCTTTTTTCTTCCCAGCACATTTTTCTGAAATACTATCATATTAAAGAAACTTACATTCGCCCATCCACCACAACCAGTTTTGGTTTGAGGTACACCGTGACATCCTTGATTTTTAGCAGAATATACTGGATTTCAGGGTGGTTATTGCTGTTCAGAGCACGCTGGATGTGGACAGAGAACTCTGCATAAGAATCGCTGCAGTCAGAAACAAAATTATACTCGCAAATGCCAGGGAATTGGTAGATGTCTCCATCAAAGGTTTTGAAATGGTCGTTTCCCCAAGTGCTGCAGACATAGTGGCCATGGTTTCTTCTCCTTCCTGTTAAGTGATAAAAAGAAATAGACATGAAAAAAGTGCAATAAACGAGCTAATGTAAGAAAATGTAAGTGTTCCATTTTACAGTAGAAATCACTTGCAATTATGAGCACAGTGATTCCACAGATTTGAAGCCTGATCAAGTATCTGATCAACATGTACTAGAAAAAAAACAGTTAGGAAACCAAGAAAGTACCACCTACTCTAGAAGGCAAATAGTTTAAGTATTATGAAAGGACTTGTGCACAACAGGAGACTTAGGAAATTATTTCTTTTCCTAAAAGCAGTAGTGATTTCTACTACAACAGAATAGAAATTCTTCAGAAGATATAACCATGATAGGAAGAAAAATAAAGTTTTTGCAATAGCCAAAACTAAAGATGATTTATTCCCTTCCCAGTCATCTACACTGACTAATAATACAAGTTAACACAATATCTAATAAATCTCCAGGTACTGTAGATTAGAGGTGAATCATAAAAGCTTAGTATCCACGGGAAACTTGACATGTCTCTCATCTTCACAAGATTTTCTTGCGCTGTTTACTATGAGAAAGCAAAACTGCTAACGCAACCTCTAGGTTACTGTGCTTTGATGGTATCAATCACCAGATACATCCAGACAAGCTGCTATCCTTCTCTCCCCAGATGGAAGGCTGCACAGAGATTCTTCTGGAGCTCACAGTTGGGATACCAAATGCAAGGTCATGCTTTCCTCTCATTGCTGATTTCAAGACACAGCAGACCAAGCTCAATACCCCAAACCTGACCACTGGACAAAATTCATCACCTATTCTTCTAAAAAACAATTTTTGGTTTTCAGTATAAGTGTTTCACTTTAACACCTCAAAGTTGGTAGATAAAGTCAGAGCTTTTACAGCAGGATTATTAACGTTCTAAATGGTAAAATTAGCTTTGTCCAATGTTACTACATTCCCTTTGGAAGAAAGAATTTATGTTGTTCCAAGTAACAGAAGGCACAATCATCCACCTCCCTCATGGCTGTAACAATGAACCTCTCAAACTTCTACAGTTGCTTTCTGCAAAGTAGTTGCCAAACCTAGGAAAGACTCAACACATCGAAAGAAAAGTAACATGGAAAATATTTTCCAAGCACATCAAACTAGATATAAACACAGTAGATATAGGAACTAATATCTCCAAAGAAAGCCAACCTATGTTGGCTGAGTCATGCTGCCTCAGTATTTGAAAGCTTAAGAAATTTAAAGCATCCTAAAACTGCGTTATTTAAGTGCCTCCTTCTACCTCTGCAGTGGTATTTTAATTCTCTCCCTCTTTTCCAGGAGGCAGTCTGCTACTATTTCATTTCTAGAGCTTACCTTTTCTTATTTCATGAGCATAGGAAAGAGCCAGCCAGAGTATGAAAAGGCTGGCCGCTCTTAGCCCCATGGTGGCTAAGGTGGGTGAATGGGCAACTCCACTGAAAACTCTTCTTTATATATTATCCACTGATGCAATTGATTCTGTCACAGGGGAGGAGATACAGAGGGAGGAGGAAAGAGGAGGGGTGAAAAAACAGGTGTGATATTTACTGAAGATAAGAAGTAAACAGATGCATTTTTCACCATAAATGAAGGAATTCAGCATACAGGAAATGGTATAATATTGATTCAGTAACCATGCGGGTTTTTATTGCCCTATTTCATCTACAGGATGCTGTGCTTTTAAATCCTTCAAATGCTCACACCAAGTTAAACCTTCAGTAACTCCTATAGCAAACAATGAATTTTGGGGTGGCTGAACAAAGAAATCCCTTGATGAAATTTTAGGGTGAGACCCTCAAACAGTGGCTTCAAAATCAAGGAATTTTTCATTTTTCACCATCACATAGAATGATTTCTGTAAATATAAAATCATGCATGTGAAGTTCCTTGTAGTTAACAGTAACCCTTACAAATAAAAATGGTACATCATACATTGTAAAATTATTCTGCTGGCAATTGTTTGATTTCTTTAATTTGTAAAGCTCTGGGGAACATCTAAACCAAAATACAGCCCATATTGTATATTGTGCCCAAGACATAATTGAGATGGGGTAACAAGGTAAGTTCAAGGAATTAACAGTAAAAGAGGTTCTCTTTCGAACATTGTCAAGGTGCAACAGAAAGTCCATCAAAAAGGTTGTAGAGAGTCTCACATCATATTAAGCTTCAGGGAAAAAAGAAGTGGGGAAAAAAAAAGGAAAAATGGGAAAACATTACTGTGCATAATCCCCCTAAATATTCTTGCTCATTCTTGCTCGCCTTCTCCATGAATGATTAATTTATAGTCTGCTGTCCCAACAAAAGCTATAGGGTCAGCTTTGCTTTGTACAGAAAAAGATGAAGAGGGTCCTTGGGAGAAGAAGAAAGCAGAAAACAGAACCAGGAACCAGGTCAGAATGCTGTTTCAGAAATACAAGATTTCCATATGCACCTTATTTTGTGCTGAAAAGTTCCCTTGAGAAAGTGTTTCTGCAACTCTCTTCAGAAGACAAAATACAGGCTCCTTGAGGTAAAGCACACTTACTTCAACAGATCTTCTAACACATCTGCTTCATAGCACTAATAAGGTTTACTTCTTAAAGCTCCCAGGCCAGGCTCTATATTTCCTCATCAAAAGATTTTCAACAGTGTCTAGAAATCTCAATCCTCTTAATCATCAAGTGTTCCTTAATTTCATTGCTCATATTACAAGTAGAGCTTTTATATTTTTCAAAACACCAAGGAAACATTTTACTTAGCCCTTTTGACTGCTCTAGTCAACAAGAAACACCCTTTTATCATAAAAGTATGTTCTGTAGATCTGGGTTTTTTAATTTAATAATTTTATCTCAACTATAGCCCAGCCTCTACACAAACATCTTCCTGTTTTCCTTTAATACGTGTCAAAAGGTTTTAGACTTTCTGCTCCTGCTTGAAAATACAGATTTGCACTTCTCTCACGCTTACATAGGGTATCATTCACTCAACAATCCTGACTGAAATTAAGTACTAGCCCTTTTCTCCTTTATGAGCCTATCACTACGAGAATATAATTTTATTTTCCTTCTTGGAAAATAAAAATAAACCCAGTAATAACCAGTTAGAAAAAATCATTTAGGAAAAAAAAAGAAGAAACACTGTCTTCAGAGACATTTCCCTGATGGTTACTTTAGCAGATCTAAGTTCTTATGACACCTCAGAGACATATCCCAACATGGAATTTTCTGTCTTTTCTGTTACCAAAACTCTTAGTTCAGAAATATTTTCTAAAAATACTTATATGATTCCCAAGGGTTTTGAGATTTTCTTTTCCTCCCTGTGTTTTTCTAGCTAGTCTCCTGGCTGGAACTACCATTGCCTCAGAAAAAAAAGTCTCCGTGATTTAATTCATATACAGTCTTTGCAAACTGTAACAGCAACTTCACGTACACAGCAAACCTGACCCCTTTTTAGATTAAATTGGATGTGTATGTTCAGAGATGTAAGTTGGAAAGTTGCATATTTTCCATTCAGCTTTCTTTGCCACAAAACTTCTAGATCTGGAACCAGTCTCATTCATTTGCTGGGACTGGGAAAGGTAATCATCCTTCACCTAAGGTTGCACCATCCCTCAGTTCCATATGCTGGCATTTTTCTTCTGTGCAGGTGAAGAGCTACTCTTGGCCAAGCACCTCTAAATTTTGGCGACTGATTTTCTCTGTCCTGATTTTCTTTGTCCTGGCTGCACAGGGAGCCTGATTACTTCTTGAGTTATGAAATTAAAACAGAACTATTTTCCTTCTCCAGTCTTTGCTTCTCAGAGTGACCAACAACTTCTCATTGTCTCTTCCTCTGACATGTATGGGGCTTGCTGTGACATCCCAAACTGGAGAATGCCTTTAAGCACTGAGACCACTCTTACAGAATCCGCACTCAAGCTTACATGGCTGTGATGATCTGAACAGAAGCAAATACATATCCTTATCTTCAAAATCCCTAGGTATGTACTTTTGCTAGCATTAGCACTGTCTGCACTAAACTGCACTGTCTCTGTTTCCTTATTGCCAGAAGGGTAATGATCCTGTCTACCAGCTGCTTTATATGCCTGTCAGAAATAATCAGTCTTTGAGCTAGACATCATCACCTGTTTTATTTCTTGCTCAGCTACCTTACAGCTTTTTGGGTTATGCATTTTAATCCAAAAGAATCCTGCTGTTAATGCACAGATAACATCCACATGTATGCATTAATTTATTTACTATAAATTGTTTGACAGCCTGAAGTAATCAATCATTTTGCAACAAAGCTAATTCTGCTTTAGCATTAGCATCTTTGTCTCAAGCTTACATCAGTTATCTATATCTGAGTCAACCTGTCTGTGGAACTTCATGCCACTCCTTGCTTCTAGTCATCTCCTCTCCAGTATCAGGTGTTCATGTGCCTTTATTGCCAATGATTCTCCATGCTATCACTGTGCAAGCAGCATCAACAGAACAATTGACGAGAAGGAGTATTTTCATATTTAGGTTCCACAGCTGGGTATTAGCAGAGATGTGGTTTTTTGAAGTTCCCCAAGTCCATGAATAGAAACACAGCTTCCCATAATCTTTCACTATATGCCTGACCTAGGAACCCCAAAACCAGTGCTACAACAGTCATTGCTAAAATTCAAAGCTTAAAAAATAAAAGCTGGTTGCATGGCAGGCATGTTTGTTATAGCAGCAGATGCAGAAGGAGAGATAAAAAATATGTTTTGAGTCATAGCTGTGTCAATGCACTGTCTCCCTACACTCAAACTTTTATGAGACTAATTTTAATCATTCCATCAGTGTAGCTAACTTTTAACGTTCATCTAGTTACACTGCAAATTTACTTTGCAGTAAAACTTCTTGTTAAAAACACAATCTGCGTGGAAGATTATCTTCATTCTGAATCACATTGCAGAAGAAAATCGTCTATATGAAAAAATTATGTAACTTTATGATAAAATTTAGCAGAGACCTGGCTGGGCTTATTTAGGAAGAATAAATAATTTTTCAAGAATGTGGACTCTATTTCTATCTGTTAACAACAAGAGGAAATCTCATTGCACTCTTGTCACAGCAATCCCACGATGACCACTGTACAAATACGTCAGAAAGTGCAATTACACCTGGTGACTGAGTTTTTTCCTTATCCTTTTGTATTCCTGACTTGCTGATCACAGGCTGTCAAACCAATAAGTAATGCTCTATCGGTGATGTTGCTCTACAGAAAGCCATGGGATTTTTTTCTACTACTCCTCCATCTGCCAGCATTTCACCAGAGCACACAAAGCCTTACACATGACCACACAACTTCACAATATACACATCACTCCTTTTGTCTCAAGCACGGAGACGGTTTGTCTGAACTCCCTTGGCAGCCATTCTAAAATAGGTCTGGCAAAATCTAGCTAGATTATGAATTAAGAGATGTATGATGATACACAATCACAGCACTTCCTTTACCAAGACACCAGTAAGCCCTCTATAAAGGCAAAATTTAAAAAAGCACAGAGATAAGCAGCAGAAGGGTGAACAGTGCATGAAAGAGAGTGTTAAAGCAATGACATAGAAGTAAGGGGGATGAATTTCATTTTGATATGCATGCTGTCAACATATTAATCTAAAATTATCACTATAGAAGGAGACAGTATTTAGACAGACATACAACTGGTATAAAATTACTGAAATTATTAATTTATGATGCTTATGTTATTAAAGAATTAGAAACAAGTGGCAAAAAGCATCCCTATAATGAATTTATTGCTCTCCCAAACCTTCTAATGGAGTGTCACTAGTAAATAGTTTTATGGAAAGAACTTTAATACACAGAATGTCCATTTAAATGTATTCAACAGTCAAGCTTTTATTTAACGCAATGTTACAAAATCCCACATACTTTTGATTGCTCCTAGGTCACTTCTGGAATCAGGTTAATATCATGTAATTAATTATCTTATCATTTTACGCTAAGGTATTGATTTTCCAATTGGACTAATCTCAGCTCTACCACTAATTTCATCCCTGTGATCTTGAGCAGTCTTTGGGTTATTGGCATTATTTTTCATTCAAACAAATACAATAGTGTAAGGTATCTGCTGATGCTATCCGGAGTATAACATTCTCACACGCCCTGCCTTAAGTGGTTTGGCATAGAGATTTTAAGATTAGCGTCCATGTTCCATTCCTAGTACTTTCTTCTTTGGAATTTGGTAGCTCATACTCTGAGAGTAAAGTTGAAAAACATTTTCTTCTCTTCAAGTTAAGTACAAATGGAGATAAACATGTGGCATACAATTACTGAAGATTAGGAAGGGGTGTAGTAAGTAATAAGTTCAATTAGTAAGCTTTCCTACTAATACAGCTTCTATAAAAGTTATGTCTGCAAAAAGCCTCAGCACAACAGCTTCTACGTTAATACACA